TAACTCGTCATACAACAACACACAATTAACTCGTCATACAATACACCATTAACTCGACATACAGCAACACACCATTAACTCGTCATACAGCAACATACCATTAACTCGTCATATAACAACACACCATTAACTCGTCATATAACAACACACCATCAACTCGTCATATAACAACACACCATTAACTCGTCATACAGCAACACACCATTAACTCGTCATACAGCAACACACCATTAACTCGTCATACAGCAACACACCATTAACTCGTCATACAGCAACACACCATTAACTCTTCATACAGCAACAAACCATTAACTCTTCATACAGCAACACAGCATTAACTCGTCATACAACACCACACCATTAACTTGTCATATAACAACACACCATTAACTCGTCATACAACAACACATCATTAACTCGTCATATAGCATCACACTATTAACTCGTCATTTCGCAACAAACCTTTAACTCGTCATACAACAACACACCATTAACTCGTCATACAACAACACACCATTAACTCGTCATACAACAACATACCATTAACTCGTCAGATATCAATAAAACCATTAACTCGTTATACAACAACACACCATTAACTCGTTATATATCAACACACCATTAACTCGTCATACAACAACAGACCATTAACTCGTCATATAACAACACACCATTAACTCGTCATACAACATAACTCGTCATACAACAAAACACCATTAACTCGTCATACAACAACACACCATTAACTCGTCATACAGCAACACACCATTAACTCGTCATACAGCAACACACCATTAACTCGTCATATAACAACACACCATCAACTCGTCATATAACAACACACTATTAACTCGTGATACAGCAACACACCATTAACTCGTCATACAGCAACACACCATTAACTCGTCATTTCGCAACACACCATTAACTCGTCATACAACAACACACCATTAACTCGTCATACAACAACACACCATTAACTCGTCATACAGCAACACACCATTAACTCGTCATACAGCAACACACCATTAACTCGTCATACAGCAACACACCATTAACTCGTCATATAACAACACACCATTAACTCGTCATACAACAACACACCATTAACTCGTCATACAACAACACACCATTAACTCGTCATACAACACACCATTAACTCGTCATACAGCAACACACCATTAACTCGTCATACAGCAACACACCATTAACCCGTCATACAACAACACACCATTAACTCGTCATATAGCAACACACCATTAACTCGTCATACAACAACACACCATTAACTTGTCATACATCAAAACACCATTAACTCGTCATACAACAACACACCATTAACTCGTCATATAGCAACACACCATTAACTTGTCATACATCAACACACCATTAACTCGTCATTTAGCAACACACCATTAACTCGTCATATAACAACACACCATTAACTCGTCATACAGCAACACACCATTAACTTGTCATTTCGCAACACACCATTAACTCGTCATACAACAACACATCATTAACTTGTCATACATCAACACACCATTAACTCGTCATTTAGCAACACACCATTAACTCGTCATATAACAACACACCATTAACTCGTCATACAGCAACACACCATTAACTTGTCATACAGCAACACACCATTAACTCGTCATACAACAACACACCATTAACTCGTCATACAGCAACACACCATTAACTTGTCATTTCGCAACACACCATTAACTCGTCATACAACAACACACCATTAACTTGTCATTTCGCAACACACCATTCACTCGTCATATAGCAACATAGTAACCATTTTCAGTAACATACGTAGTTACTTTTGAATTTTCACATTTTAATTGGCGTTCTATGTAGACATTATATGTCAAACACTTGAACAGGAAGACCAATGACAAAAATGGACATCTTTTATGTTTAAAATTGATATTTATTTTGAAGTAAGTATGAGTTTGTTTTCATATGTACCAGTATTATAAACAGGATTTCCCATTTAGCATATAAACTTGTAAATCTTAACGAAGCAACAGGGCTTTATTCTTTATCTAACAAGACATATGCACGGAACATTAAAAAACCAAACAAACAAAACACAATACGAACAAAATGTTTTGTTCTTTTGTCATTTGCATAATCCAACATGATTGGACTAATGACCGCTCCTTGAGAAAAACATTTGGCCACTGCCACATTTGACGGCCATCTTGAATTAGGGAAATCCCCCTAAAACGTTGCGTGAAAAGCTACATGTCGTTTGGGTTCTTAATAATAAAATACGAAGCAAAACAAGATGTCACCCCACTTTCCTTTGAGGACTAAAATATTCCGTAGTTTAGTGCAAATTCTAAGGGGTACAATAAAAGAAGTTAAATAATGACATATCCAGTGAATTATCAGTACAATGAATAATCTATTGTTATATATCATTGGAAAGATTCATTTATGAGGTATTTAACGACGGAAACAAAAAGTTGATGGAGCTTGCCTACACATATAACATGTATGAAAATTATGAAAATGTCACGAAATCTTTAAAACAAAAAGTGGCGCTGCAATCGCATATGTCATTTATTTCAAGGAAAAATACTGTTTCACTGTCTATTTTAGGCTAATTGTTTCACAAACAAACAAAAAATCGATCGTGGGCTGCCATGCAACAACTCCTTTACAAAAATACATTTTTACAAAACGTACATCTAATACCAAACATAATTTGATTGCCATGAGAAATTTGGCTTTGGTTGTGTATCAAAATTAATATTTATCTCGTCTATTGGAAGACTACCTTAAGCTACTCAGCACTACTTTAAGGTTTTCTGCGGATTAGCCATCATAAAACGAATCGGATCTAATCGGCTTCCCGATGTTCACACACAATATCATATATGTACTCTAACGACAAATGCAATCAAGGGAAAAAAAGAATTTACCTGAAAATATTTATGATTAATCGAAAGAAAGCTGGTAACAATGGTGTAAGATTTACTACACGAATTAAAACAATAATCGTTCTGAAAACAAGATGCCAATAAAATGGAAGGAGGCAGTAATTAAATTAATGTGTTACGTACTCTCGACAGCTAGGTGTATGCGAGGACGTGTTTCTAGGGAGACACCAACAGCCAGGGTCAGGTGAGGACGGGTTTCTAGGGAGACACCAAAGCTAGGGTCAGGTGAGGACGGGTTTCTAGGGAGACACCAAAGCTAGGGTCAGGTGAGGACGGTTTTCTAGGGAGACACCAAAGCTAGGGTCAGGTGAGGACGGGTTTTTTAGGGAGACACCAAAGCTAGGATCAGGTGAGGACGGGTTTCTAGGCAGACACGAAAGCTAGGATCATGTGAGGACGGGTTTCTAGGGAGACACCAACAGTTAGGGTTTGGTGAGGACGGGTTTCTAGAGAGACACCAACAACCAGGGTCTGGTGAGGACGGGTTTCTAGGGAGACACCAACAGTTAGGGTTTGGTGAGGACGGGTTACTAGGGAGACACCAACAGCCAGGGTCTGGTGAGGACGGGTTTCTAGGGAGACACCAAAGCTAGGATAAGGTAAGGACGGGTTTCTAGGTAGACACGAAAGCTAGGATCATGTAAGGACGGGTTTCTAGGGAGACACCAACAACCAGGGTCTGGTGAGGATGGGTTTCTAGGGAGACACCAACAGCCAGGGTCTGGTGAGGACGGGCTTCTAGGGAGACACCAAAGCTAGGGTCATGTGAGGGCGTGTTTCTCGGTAAACACCAACAGCAAGTGCAGTAAGGACGGGTTTCTAAGGAGACGTTAACAGAATTATGGAGTGTCAAGGAAAGAATAGTATACTACAATGGGTGCAGTAGAACAGTTTTCATCTTATTTGTGCCCCACCATATCTGAAACAAGAGACAGACAGGTCTTAACGGTCACTTGACTATAAAGACCTATATATTAATGAGGCAAAAGTAGGTCTAGATTGTTCAACTACTCTACAGCTTACAAAGAGGACAATGTTGGTTCATTACAAACATCTGCAAGCTTAGACAAATGCCCTAAAAATTGCTTATTGAAAAAAATTAAGATCTTAATTCATCTGAACCAAGAGAGGTTGAATATAAGTCAAGATGAATTATTTAGATATGTTTGGTAGCCGTTTATTAATTTATGTTAAATAACCTACTTTAACAGCCTAGACTTTTACCATTATTACGAAGAATTCCTGTGACGTTTAAAAGAGACAAAGTCAACCACAGGAACAAATTGGTAACCCTTCAACTTCCAGAATACCACAGAAACATTTTCAAGATCTTTACATCTTTGACTCTGTTACCTTGAAAAACAGTCAAGGTCATAATCCTAACGAACTGGGTAGTGCACTATCGCGGCATGCTACATACCTAATGTCAGTACCCTGGGCCCTTAACATATATGACCCCTGTGACATTGAAATTTGCTTAAGGTAATTCATTTTTCAAACTTGGTAACCCTTTATCCCAACATGATACATGTCCAATATCAGCACTTGGGTCTTTTGGTTTTTGAGGAGAAGTCGTTTTAATTGAAATTTTACGCACGGCGGACGGCGCACGACGACGGACAAACACTATGACTGTAGGTCATCCTGACACTTTGGGTCAAACAACTTAAACAAATCAATAAAGATAATTAATTGTATCACGGGGATGACATAGGGGCTTTTCAGACATAAAGTATATAAATATTTTAAAGAATTAAAGTTACAATATAAAAAACAAATTCAAATAAAAACATTAACCACCTAATGATTTACAAAACGAATAAAATATTAAACAAATAAAAGTATATTTTACCATAACCACCATGAGTTGGAAATTAAGGGGAACATGTTGATCAAATACAACTCTCAGGTCGCCGTAGGTCGTACTGTACAAGGCCTCGTCTTTCAAATTTATAATTACACGAGTTATACTTTGTTACTGATGTGTTATATAGATGGCAGTTCGTGTCAACATGCCATTTACATACACAGGAACTCAACCTGCGATTTTGATAGTTGCCACCCTCTGAAAAATGACGTTGTATTCCATCACTGTCGTATATGCTTTGGCGCGAATTCCCTGTCGTGAAATTGTTTTCTACTTTGTGACACTGGCATGAACACTTTAAGTTGGTAGGGTTTAGTGATGTTCGGTAATATCGTTGATAATGAATGTAGGCCCGTTTCCGGCATATCCTTTTTAACAGTTCCATTTGCACCTGTAAATTAATCAAGTCCTTTTCTTAGAATTTATTTGAAGAGTAACGAGACTGTATGAGAACAATAACATTAAAAAACAATACCGACATATCTGTCATAAATCAAAATTTAAATTCGTTAATATGAGAAAAAGGATATAAAGTAATAATACTAACACAGTGACCCAAAACAAGGAGAAGAAAAACATATTTTCTTCATTTCGTACCCTTTCTAAACACAATTAATTGAATGCGAAATCATTGTTATTATGTTATGAACACATACCTCACCGTTCATAAAGCAAAATAATATGGCAACCACCAATCCCTGAAAATAGTACATATTTCATCATTGTCATGATTATTTGGGGAGGAAAACATTGACTATCACTAAATATACACGAATTGATAACATTGATAACACATACGTTCGAATATCACGCTGATATTAAGAAATCTTAATACAATTACTGGGCAATTGTGTAGATCATTTGACATAGAATATGCTTCTAAATTCCACAGACATGCAATGCCATTCAGTATCAATAAATACAGTCGAACCTAGTTATCTCGAAGTTGTATAACAAGAAGAAAGCGTTAGATTAGAGGCATTTCGTCTATCCTGCCAAACTTTTCACCAAACATTTTATCTCGGATAACTGGAAGTTTCCAACTGGTTCACCGACTTCCAAATAACGGAGTTCGACTTGTTTACGATCTGTTGATGTACCTTCTCTATTGTCTTAATTCAGCGAGTATTATTGTTTCACATATGATACACATGTCTAAAAACAATTTGACCTGAAGTACACTTTTACCGTAAAACCGTACATCACACCACGAAAAAAACCCATAAATACTAGCACTAATACTATGAGGTGGTATACCTGAAATGAGTTGAGGAACATTTCAAAGTAAAGTTTAACCACTTCTGTTTCTGGTTCGAGTTCATCAGGAAAACCAATGAATACGATATAATGAATTCCAAAAAGTGGGATGAGAACTAGAGTTGCTTTTGCCAATCGCCTGCAATTGAGAAAAAAAGGTATAATGAAGCCTGTATACATTTCCTAAACGGTATTCTTGGAGAACACAGATAGCATATTAAATTTTGATGCTAGAAATCCTAGTTTTTGACAGTGAGATATGTGGTTTTCTTAATGTGGTAATCCAACATAAATATTGAGATTCACAATGCCAACACTATATACACTTAAATACAATTAACGGTCCATTGGCCGAAACAGTAATCTGACTTCACTGTATAGGACCTAGAACTGTAACAACAGTAGTGGCAGTGGTGATGGAATACATATGTAACTAAATCTATTCTTAATTCTAGCGAATTATATTTTTCACTAGTTTGCAGCAAGTGCCCATCAAATCATTTGAAACTTTATGTGACATTTTGTTGTGAAGAAATTATGAAATATGAAGCCCAAATAACAAAATAATAATAATTGTAATGGCAAAAGGACATTAACTCCATCAAATTCCATTTATCTAGAAACAAACGTTGTCAATGAACATAGCTTCACTTTGATAAAAGTTGCTTCCCCTTGACCAAATGTCGCTTTACCTGTACTTGTGTCGCTTCGCTGATTGTGATTTTGGACTTTTCATATTGAAAAATAACGTTCTCAAGATGTTCAGAAATAGGAAGAAATTGATCTGAAAAGGAAACCATTCATTATTAGCGAATTAATCATACATGGAAACATATACATTTGCTTTTAAGTATTATGATCGTTATGACACAAATATAACATTATCAAATTCGATCTGATGTTTTTAACGACTTAATATTGATTTGATCAATACTGTCATATGTATGAAAATTGATGTGACCCGTTTTGAAATTTAGAATTGACAAAAACAGGATCCTGGACGCAGACAGTGAAAAGTTTTGCAATGATATCACTATATCAATAAATTGGTAGAGATATAAATATTAACGACCATTTCTTCTGCCAGACCATCACTCACTCACCACAATGCTTAGAACTAAGGGTCCTTTTATGATCCAGAAATATTCATGAGTTGGGTTTGTATTCCAACACCTGTAATATAGTTGTATTTCATAATACATTGTATCAGGCATATGATTTGAAATTATATGTGTTCAAAACTTGTTCGTGTGCCTGGTCGCTGTTTGTTTCAGACAATTGTTTTCTTTTTGAGAACAAAACATTACTTGGCCTAGTCAAGCTCAAAAACTTCTGAATACGAACTTATACCATATGCCAATATTTGTTATCAAAGCATTCTACAAAAGACACATGAATAGGATATATTAATATTAGGTTAGAATAACATATGTATAATGTTGCTCTATAGCATGAATTAGACTATATAAGTGTGCTGTCTCGTCCATTTATGCTAAGGGCCTGAAAATTTGAAAATTAGGAGGCAACTGTTTAAGATCAAGATTTTCTCATTTAGATGCAACAAAGACGGAGATATATCCTAAGTCCATTTTTATTGATAAATGATTTTCAGTATTGTATGGTTTCCATAGAATTAAGTTACAACTGTTTGAATTACAGGTTTCAGCAAACTTTAGGGACTAAACTCCACTAATAATTCTATCCATTGCAAAGCAAAAACAAAAAAGGCAGTAAAACTAGGGCAAAATATGAACAAAAGAAAGATTGATAGTGCAACCCCTGAAAAAGTATAGGGACGATAACATCAGGCGTTCAGGAAGAGTAAGCGTTTTTAGAGAACAAGTTTTACAACAACGAAACAAACAGGCAAACTAAAAACATCAAACATGTACAGCCAAAAGAAATATAATATTTCTCAATGGGATCACTGTGATAACCTTAAAACTTCACCATCATTTTCGTCAATTTGCATCTTTTGAAACCCTATGTTACAGGGTTTGTCCGTCAGTTGACGACTTCTTGCACAAAAATCGTGATGCATTTGAATTTTGAATTAACTGCGAAATTATAATCAACATAAATAGGGGATGCAGGGAGGTTGCTATCAGGAAATGGAAAAGTTACATAGAGAAATTGAAATCATCACACAATATCAATGTTAATTATCATTTTCATACCAATTATATATAGTAATATTGGAAAAGCGCTTATTTTCGATTCGACACCGACAATCACGTTACCTTGGCATTGATACGTTTTTTCAAACTCACAGAATATTTTCTTCAGTGATCCGAACCACGACCCATGGAATGACATATAGGAATGGCGAACCTGCAAAAAGGAGACATGTTATATCATGTTAACAATGAATGTTTCAGTACATAATGATACCTTATCGTATAAAATATATGGATATGGCTTGTTACTATCAATAACATTAATCATGACGTCAACAAAGATGTCGGCTAGCTGCTGTGATTCGGCGGTCGAACGGAAGCTGCCTATAAATGAGTAAAATAGATTATCATCATAGACCCACTACTGCTAGAAGCACTTACACATTATCATGAAAACCTCGAAATGAAACAGAAAACCACGATTTACAATGACCGAGTAGTTTGACAGTTTATGGAAATTAAAAAAACAACAACTATGACAGTATACATTCATTGACAAAAAACAAAAACAAGAAAAACCAAACAACCAAAGTGAGTAATCTAAGTAAGTAATGGCACGTTCTCAAATGATACGGTAGAAACAATTGAAGCAATATTTATATTAACTAGCTACAAACACATGTTCAAATTTGTATCACATCAGGAAAATTTTCTCAAATAGTTTATTATGACGACCGCAAACTTTGCCACCATTTTAATCAACCTGTATCCTCGAAACCCTGTGTTGTGAGTTTGTATGTCATTTGCCATTATCTTGTGCATAAATCATGATACAGAAAGCAAACCCTTGAATATAGAATCGTCTGAGACCTGTAAATACCACAGGATTGAGATAGAGGAGTGGTGCTCTTCAAAAACAGAAAATTTTAAAAAGGGGAAATAAAAACACCACGCTTTACATACAGCTTGCTAAAAAACTATCACCGTTGATTTCTTGATTGGAAAGACTGAGGTAAGCAGTTTATGTTGAAGAGTTTGTCGTGTTCTTCATTTCCAATTCATGTGAATACATACGATGGACATAAAATATGAATTTCCTGTTATCTAATGACATCATCAATATCAGTTGATGGTCTTTTCAATGTTATTGTAACCAGTTTTTAAAAGCTCTGCGATGTATTCAGCCTTGCAGGAAAAACAAAGACAGGTCAGCCAAACAAGGGACATAATTTGTACCTGGTCTGGCGGAGGACCTTACACCGAACTCGACAAAAATGTCGTCAATCAGAAATATATTATTTAAATAACTTCTTGCTCTGTAAATTGCTGCTTTCATTTAGACGAAAATACGCTTCATTTTAGTTCACAACTATACATATTTATATCGTCGTTTCCTTTGAAAAGATATGGTTGTGTACAGAGCGGAAAAATTAAATGCTCTTATAAAAGAAATATTTTTAAGAGGATGTTCAAGATTTGTGAAAAGCTCTTTGGATCACTTTAAAATTCTCATTAATTTCACTTTAAGAGTAAATAGTATCACAGTACTAAAATGGTAGTATATTGCTTTGGTATAGGTAAAGTTTAGCAGCGAGTCAGCAATAATACGTTGCTTATATGGATTATTTTGCAGTTAAGACATCCAGTGTTAAGAACGAAGGTCCAGATCCTTGTATTTTTTGGCAATCTGAGAGATTGTTATACGGAAGCGTGATTAGCCAGTAATTATCACTTGAAAAGATCTAATATATCGGCACGGTTTCCTGCACCATGAAACATTTTTATTGGACTCCACTGACCTTGTGTCTACTCGAGAAAAAATATCCTAAACTTACAGCTTTAAAGACCAGTTTCGAAACTGTTCAGATTGATATAATGTTGGTCTATATTATAGAATATGACTTACTAATATTTGGTGATAAAATAAAGTTAAGATTTTCAGCGTTTGTCTTTTACGTTTTAGTGTGTATAATGTTATTTCTTTTTGGATCGTTGTGTCTTTCACCGGTTGATGGCCCCAATGTCGTTTTATATGTTGACGGACCGTTAAGATTGTAATAATGATAAAATTGTAATAATAATCCTCCATTGTTGAGCCAACTTTATTATCGAGCTAACTGAATCCTTTTTGAAGTGATGAAATGAAATTAAGTTTAATTAAGGACAGGGGAATTTATGTTTGGTGAAAGGTGTCAAGAAATTTAAAGCAGACTGTTTGAAAAAGTATGATAGTCACTTCTAGCACGCTGTGGTATCAGCAATGTTTAAAGGATGTTTGTCCATCAAGGAGGTAGGTATGCTAAGTGTAATAGTGGGGCGTGCTTTCTGTGATATATTTTCATCAACGTTCTTTAAGATATTTATGGCTAGTTGTTACGACGGTGACTGTTCGTGGAATTTCTGGGAGAATGACTGTCGGTTACATAAGTCAAACATGACCCGTGCGTGGAAGGAAGAAAAGGATATTAAGACTAGACAATCCCTGGATAATAACGTTAATAAGATGTTTGGTGACATATAACATAAGAAATGAACCGTCATAAAAATCCTCATCCAGGTTGTAAAAGACATATAGTCAAATATAATGTCTATGATGTCTATATCTGTTCTCTTAACCATATAGGATGAACATGTATCCAACTATACAGGGAATATACTTTCCTAGAAATAGCGTGATCTTGAGTATCGAAAACGAGGTTTTATTAGTAAAACGAAGATTCAATTATATCATTAAAATCTCTTAACAGTCATCGTTAACTATATGGAAGTTTTATGGTCGTTATACTGTCTTGGGTTGACAAGGATTCACATGGCGGGTGTCGTCAATGAAGCAAAAGACACTTAATCCTCCGGAAACCCGGGTCCGTGTTCATGAAACCATTCTCAAGTGTAGATTTTGTGCTCAAGCAAACTTTTTGAATTCACCTAATTCATATCAAATAACACAAAATTCAAATTTAAACCTTGGATATAGCTTTGTCTTGAATCCCGTTCATAATTGTTTTTAAATCTATGGCAAAATCAGCATTATTTATTATTTTTTAACTTAAGACATAAGTCAGATAGTATGTGGTTTTGTAGAGTGGCAGTTGAGAAAAGTATACTGACCAATAGAAAAATTGAGGAAAGGTGTCGCGAGATAATGGAAACATTCAAGAAAATGCTTGAGGATTTGGAAAATTCAATGAAGAGGAAATGTGAAATATCTGATGTTGAATGCATATTGAAAAAGGAAATGGGAAAGATTGTGAAACAGATGGAAACGCCTCAGTGTTCGGATGAAATATTCTCCGAGGTAAAGGATCGGCAAAGCAGGGAAAATAACATGGTCATTTTTGGAGTTCAACCTACATTGTATGATATATCAATTCCATTGTAAATCAAATTTAGATATGGACATAGAGGCATTGTTTTGCCTGAGTCCATTATTAACTTAACTTATAAGGCTTGAGCACAAAATTCATGCTTGAGTATGAGAACGGTTTCATGAATACGGGCCCTGGTCTTATTCTCCGTTTACTTTTCCAGTAGTCTCTGTGTAAATCCTTCTGATGCCATAGTTTTACTGAATTTGAGTTTGGATTATGATTTCATTTGTATGCTGACATGTTGGTGTTATCTTAATTTTGTTTGATTTCATTTCATCATTATGTTACACACAAAGCATTATTGGATTCGAAGACTAAGCATAGCCGCCTATCTATCTATTATTTAGCCAATTGGACATTTTTTTGGAATCCAACGTAACATAGTACTGAATAAGGTACAGACGAATTGAGACATGAAAAGTTGACATCATTCATCTGAAATATTCTTAGCAATATCTATGGACCTTATTACCGCTGATGAGGTTGGAAATACTTTCAGTCCTTAAATCATATTTTTATTGATAATATTGGAACGCCTATCAGTTATAAACCTAAAATGTGAGGATACTAGCTTTCCTCTAAATTATTCATTTTGACCTTTTTAGATGGTATATTACAGTGAACCATACGCTGGGTTTACATACTTAATTGCTTTTTCCAGATACGGAACTATACTATTCAGCAAAAAATGATAACGTAAATAAGGCATTTGGAACTGGGGTCATTGGAAGATTAGCAAGAATGTAATAACATTAATTGTTTCTAGATAAAAAGGAAATAGCTCTCATCTCGTGTAGTAAAAATTTTCATGCAATATACCAGTTCTTCATGAAACATAATTAACAGCCGTATTATACTGTATTACAATGGTTACACTTTAGTTGATATCATAGGAATCGCCTACGATTACCATAAATCTTGAAACTTGTTACTATTGCTTAAAACCGTAAATGATACCTACCCCAGCCGAGTATGACGTAGTATTTGATACTACTCCTCTCAGAGAAGACGGAGACTAAGATCAGTGTGTGTAAGTGTATGCCCTCTACGAAGATCCACATGTAGCTGGCGGACAGCACATAGTAGAAAACTGAGAACAGCAATTTACACTCCCAGTGCTGGTGATAGAAAAAGAAATATGTACTGGCATCATTGATTAAAATTGTATCTATATCAAATGATGAGAAACAATGAGCTGACTATAATATTTTTACTAAATGTACGAAAACTAACGATATAGCATGAGTATATGTAACAAGGTTGGTCGCAAAAATGTCTAAACTAATTAAGTTAAGCAAAATGTTTTAAATAAAAGCTCTACAGGAAGCTGTGGATAATCCTTTAACATAACCAGACATTCTCGCTCTTAAATATTAAAATGCCAGCGATAAGTACCAGTAACAGTTTAAATTATTGTAACATTGTGAGTGTAAGCTAATGCGACAATTCTGGAAAGTTTTAAACAAATATGCAATGTTCTCCAACCTTCTGTAAATGAAATCGAAATTCGTTTCCTGCACTGGAAGTGATAAGTTGCAGATAGTATAAGATAATAATAGTTGGAAAAGGATAAGAGATTGCACAAAGACACACCTTTTCACAATTTATATTAGATACAGGTAGAGTAGAGTCAAACAGTGAATTAAACTGCATCATACAACTGTTTTGTCCATCTAGGACCAAGAAAAATCCAAAGTGATAAAAAAAGTCAAAATCTAGATAATTTTAGGCACATACCCATCCGTAGCTATTAATCACTGATGTTAGTTCTGACCAAAATCAACAACGAAGGAATGTCACGATACGTCTAACCAATAAAGTTGAAGGTTCGTGGTAGGTATTGTAAGATTTAACAATCGATTAACTAATGATAAAAAAATAACGATGTTGTTACCAAAAATGTATGCCTTGACCTGTCGGTGATAATTGTTGAATAGCAACATCTCTGCATTGCCAACCTATGGTGTTTGCATGTCGCAGTTCATTCGATATCATTGACCTATTCCTGTTGTCACGATTTTCGTGGGTGAAGTCGTCAACTGATAATCAAACTCGTAACGCATGGTTTCAAAAGATGCAGATTTATGGAAATTATGAGGCAGTTTTACTGTCGTTATTGTGATCTCATTGAGAAATTTATTTCTTTGTGCAAAATTAAACAGGACGTGTTTGATGCTCGTTTTTTTCTTTTTTGCCTGTTGATTCCGTTGTTGTATACCTTATTCTCATTTGAGAATATGACATTACTTAGCTGGATTGACCAAGATTTAAATGACTTGTGTCGGCAATGACTTCTCCAGGTAATTTTTCAGAAGTCTCCGTGGACAATTTTTATTTTATTCCTATTTTGTCCTAGTTTAATTGAATTTGAGTTGATGATTTTGTTTACAGTTGGTATTTTCTTGTTGGTTTCCTCCTTTGAAGACTTTTATTATCATAAATTCTTATTATACATCTTTCTACATTTATACATCGATGTAATTACTAAACTATAGTGGTAAAGTATGTAAAACACGTGATTCACTTACCGTTCCTTCATTAATAAATAATACCGTATCTTCATACGGAATTCGTTCTACGTCCTTGTGCAGTCCAAGTCCCTGAACTAGAAGTGTTTCCTTAAGAATGGACACAGTTGCTCTCAGGATAAATGATACAAACAGATTCACATGGACTGTGTTCCTGGGGCAATGCAATTTTCTGGAGGAGTAAAATACAAGATATGTTCATTGCAATTGTAGACAATCACACCTCTACAAAACATTGTCAGTTCGTCCTCGTCGAAAATTATGCCACATGCTAACTTGGCCTTTGTTATGTTATAATAAATGAAGTAGCATGGGCTTTGATGACCCGAAAACAATATCTACATGTTATAGGTAGAATGATCATATTTACTTATGCATGCTATATTGAAATATTCTGAATAGGAACAATGTTATCCACACAACGTGCAGCCATTAGACATAACCTTGAAGCATCTATCGGCCACCTGTAACTCATTACTGACGCGTTCTAAGTGAGATTATTTCACTTTGTTAAATGCAGCTACGGCCATTACAAGATAATAAACAGTTTTCTGTTGTCACATGTACAGTCGAACCTTGTTATCTCAAAGTCAAGACTTCGCTTCACTCAAGTTTTCGATTTCAGCGAGTTTGAAGTTTTTGACGAAACCGACGAATTTAACGGGATCTTCGAGATTTATGAGTTCGAAGGTATCGAAGTTGGATTGTATATATCTTTCGAGTGCAAGCACAAGTTACATGTATTCTGAGATACACCGGACATATATGATATCTATTCAACGGGAAACCATTGACTTTCTTTTTAATGCATCTCAAGAGGGGAAGACATAAAAAAAAGTCGGTGCAGACGTAAGTCAAATCTGGTTTCAAAATGGTGGGAAACATGAACATATTATTTGACGTTCGATAATTCTGACAGTAAGTGCCATTTTGAATCGGCTACTCAATAGAGTATCCTACTGTTAGCATTGACGTCATACTGTAACAAGATATGAGTTTTCAGAAAACCCGCAGATACACAACATAGGTTTGGTGGAAACCCACGTATGTAACTTTAGCTTCCTTTGCAATTTTAATACAGTGGCCAAATTTCACAGTTCAGATTGGCTAAAAACCTAAACCGCTGTAGGTACACCTCCTGAGAGCTCGAGGGTAGCTTTTCCAAAGCTGTGAAATGATAAAAGTGTCTGGATGACCGAAAAGTTTTCCCCATTGGACTTATTAAGAACGTTATTGTGGAGTACGCTTTATTCAGCTTTAACTGGATCACGTCAAGTTATGACTTATTACATTACTAACAATATATATATATATCTATTAATTCTATAGAATAGTTCATGTCTAACCTAAGTATAGCTGGCCGAATATATGTTTCTCTGAAGATAAATGTTTTGACTGTGGAAACATTCCAGTACATAAAGAGCAATTTTACATATAGCTTTACAAAAGAGCTCCACGGCAATACAGTTATGCATATGAAAACACTATTTAAGAATCAAACAATTAATACTTATATTAACTTAAACTAAACTTAAGTTTTGCCAACGCGTGAAATTTTGATAGATACAATATTTATTCTTCATCTTTCTACGTCTTGATTATAATTATAATTTGTTTCAGACCGATTACAATGTCTCAGTAATTATAGAATTATACTATGTACCACATTCTAATATCAACCATGCTTTACTATGGAAGGTAGGCGAGTTTCATCATTCATTTACAAGCGAATTGATTATTTTTTCGAGGTGACATCCATTATACGAGTCCAAACTACAGAATGATTTGTGGACCACGGATGATGAGCGTATAATTTGATATGATAGGCAAATATAGCTGTAGAACGGCGCTTGGGAGCCAAAGGTGAGTACAGCAATCTAGACATCTCTTGTATGTAGAACGCATTATTCAAACGGATATCGCATTTCAGTGACAAAATGTTGGCTTTTTTCCATTCGTGGGAGACATATTTACTGGCATAATTGGTTTAAAAGTTATTGAGCAAATTACGCGATACTCTGAGACAGAAAAACAACATCCCGCATCCGCCCCCATGGATTTCGGCAGTACATGCACTTTAAGTCAATTAGAACAACAGTATGACAAACACAACCGCTTGTTATCACTTTAGATTCAATATTTGTCCATGTTTCTTTCTCAAAATTTCCCTTTACTTTCAGTATCGTTTATTTTTTGGTGTACACTACCTTCGGTAAGTGTAGGTATATACACCATCAGTAAATAAGTTACAAAATCACAGGCATAAGAAGATGTTTTATTGCCTTTAGTGTCAACTTACCGGAAGTAAATCATGATGAAGACTGCAACGGACAGGGATATAAGTGAAATTCCATAGCCGATGTTATACATCACCCGGATGTTCTTCATGTGAATCTTAAAGAACAACAGTATCACGATTCAAGCAGATAAAAGAAGTTCATGTAATGTAAGAAACAACAATATATGGCATTAAAAACAATAAAGATTGATGTAAGTCTTGCCGCGTCAATAAATCCTAACGATTTTGTATGGTGATATTTGATACAGCCGCAGGTGTTTCCTTCTTTGATCAATATATTAAACAGTTAAAAAAATACAAAGCGTCACACGCACAGTTCGTTGAATCATCATTTGAAACTTTATGGTTACAAAATAATCTCCCGAGTAACAAAAACAGTGCTGTTATATTGATACGAAGGCATCACTCTAGTTTTACAGTTTTTCATGTGTATACTATAGAGTGATTTAAACACGTCATAATAAAGGCATTAGAAATCTGAGACATGCTAATGACAACTTGTCTCAGGCAATCACACCTTATATGTTTTATGTGTTTGTGTTTTATTAAGTATAATTTTACTTTCATTTTAATGGTATTTTCTTAAAACCATAAACAAGGAGAGTTTGAGAACAATCTCTAGATGGTTATATGTTATGTCTCTATGGAAAAGAAAATTTGCAGTCGAACAGGATTGTTATTACATATGATTTATAAAAAAAGCAATCTTTAAATATGGTCATCAGATAGCGAAAGTTTGGATTGGTTTATATTGAGTACTATCAGCAGTGAATGTCATTAAGGACGGCCTCCCATTGTATGGAAGGTGAGTGCATGAGTTCGATGTCTGTGGTTTTGGAAGGCTTTGATTTGTTAGTTAAAGCGTCCTTGTGGTTATGCGCAACATAAGGTTCATATTGCAGTAGACGTTAAACTTCAGTCTTAAATGGTGACAGTCATGATCAGAGAAGAGTATTAAATAGTTTCAGTAAACTGGTCACAAATACACATGACAAAACTTTCAACCAACTCCAGAACAATACCGGCTGTACATGCAACCGTTGTGAATCTATATCGATATACAAATAGGTCAAACGTCGATTTCTACATGTAATTTACTAAAAGTTACAGGTCAAATAAGTACTTACAGTAATCAACACACTATACTTCAAGTCAGTAAAACAATGTCAAATGGTTAAATATAGGTGACGGAAGGTCACAGTTCAAGTAGGTGATATCGCATTATTTTCAGTTTACAACTGCTTCGACAATGTAGGTTCATTATATAGGCCATAAGAATACATGGATCGATAAGTTCAAAGGTACATAACAAGATCAAGATAAATATAGTTTCATTTACACATCTAACAATAATGTAGGTCAAAGGTCGATATATGTGTAACCTCAATCAGGTTATATAACAAGGTCAAGATAAATATAGTTTCATTCACAGATCTAACAAAAATGTAGGTCAAAGGCTAATTTATATGTAATTTCAGTCAGGTTCATATGGGTCGTTAAGAATACAGATATTGAATGAATTGAATGATTGAAAGCTGACATTGCATGTAAAACTAACTTGTTGCTGGTCTTAAAGTCATCAGCTTAAGTAAAGTGATAGATAGAAATATCCCTTGTTTGGCCCCTCAAGGCAAATTCCACCTACATGTTAATACATATTTAAACTCAGAAACAAGTTACAACTAATTGATCAGAATTCAACCGCGCGTTGATACACACATTGAGTTGAAGTCTTATCAGCGGCTCCAAAAGCTCTTTAAACTATCCCAGGTTACCAGCTAACTGCATCAAAATATGGATAATAAATAGATCCTACCTGATTAATGAATTGGTTATTTAACCAGTATCTTATAACTAAGTTGTTATAAAATAAAACTGTCGAGCCGAATCCCATCATACTTGCTGCAGAGGGGTACTACAAGGAAAACGGGGTTTCCCAAAGGAGTTTTACACGTAATATACATGCACGAATCTACATAGAAGATTACCCAGCTCCTCAGTTTTTCTTACACATATGCGTGGTGGCCTAAGGCCCCATATAATAACTTGCATCCACACACACACACCATCTTTAAAATGATGATATGGTCAAGCTAATCGATTTCAGTAATCATGATATGGTTCTTGGTTAAATTACACAATGGGGCCTCTAGTTCATCTGTATCTTCAACTCAATTTTGGAAGATGTTAAGAAGCCGTCGCTTCACAATACCTATGATTCTACCTCCGCCAAAATGTCCATCTATGTCTACAACCTTGCTGGACTACGTCCAGAGTTCGCTTGACGTTCTGGACGTTGGGCAATGTCCAGAGAGCTAAAATTGTTCAGAAAATTTCAGATCGCAAATGTAGTCGTCTCTTACAAGGGAGCTTATAAAACACATTATACCTTCAAAAAACATACATCAACACACCCACTTCAATGGTATACACCTGGCCCCCGGTTGCTTAAAGGTTAGTTCGAGTTAACCAACGGTTAATAAAAACACATTGCTGTCAGTGTAAAAACAAGGACTCAAAAAACCAAACTTGACACTCAATAATATCAATTTAACATGTCTCAAAAAGTATAGAAAAGTGGAATGATAAAGTGTGTACACAATTTGTTTAATTCATGTTTGAATTTTTTTACTAACTGCTGGTTATCTCTAACCAGTCTTTGAACAATTGGGGGCTTGAAAGTCGTCATAATGTAACACCATACCACTATTACTAAAATTGCAAGGATGTAATATCATAAACAATATGTTAATAATCGTTATTTGTATACAACATTCAGTTGTAATAAGCGAATATCTTGTTCACTTCTTTGCAAAATAGAAGTAAATGGTACAAGTAAGTTTGAAGTGGTAATGTCCCTTTAAGTGGATCTTCAGTCTTAAAAGGTACAGTTAACCCACTATAAAAATACGACTGTTACTTTTCTACTTAGGCCTTGTTAATTATCCATTTAATGACTACTTAGACTGACGCTGTGGTATATATGAGTCAGTATTATTCCAGTAATTTTGTTAAAACTACAATATTTAATCATTAGCATCACGATTTACAACACTGGGTTCATTGGCCAGCACTTTCACATAGCTGCGGTTTTATTTTTACTTTTTGTTTTGCTCTTAAATATGTGAGCATTATCGATTTGATGTTATCGTCCTAGGGCGTGTCTATACAATGTCTAGAGTTGGAGCACTAGAGCTAATGCTGTTTCCAAGCCCGAGGCTCATTAGTCAATTCATTAGAAGACACATCGTTGCAATGTCAATATTCCAATTACGTCATGTTGTTTACCACGACCTAATGTAGTTTGTACCGAATGAAATGTCAATTTGTTCACAGGCTCTTGCTTTGGTTTTTTTATAATACAATAACAAGATATTGATAACTCCAAGGATATCTAAACGAAAGGGATGACTAACTCCAAATATTTCACATATCAGGCTTTTCAATTGTCTTTCGTGTTTTAATCGCTACACTGATGTATCTGTAGAGAGGTGATTAATGATTCAGGGACGATATTAGTATATTTTGTTGTACTGCAGAAGGAATATTTCAACACCAGCTAAATTTAACTTACAATTGTGAATTACAAAAGGCCGCTAGGTATCGCTCGCTCTAAAGGTGGGGTCAATATTGGTTCCCCACTTTGCACATTGTTTTATTCTGCATATATAGAACAATAAACACTTATTGTATAAATGATAAATCATTATTACTACTTATAGTCGTTACGGGCCTCCATGCATGACACATGGTTGAATGACGGGGATAACAAAATAACAGATCATTGACAGAGGTGAATGTAATTTATGAGGTAAGCCTAGTGATACTTTTAATAAAAAATGCAATTTTTTCACATAATCTAAAATTATAGATGCATTTATAATCTATATTCTTTACCTCTTTATAAACTTTCCATACATATATACTCAATCAATTTAATGTAATATACAAAAAAAGTGAAATAAATACTTTTTAGGATAGCAACCATGTCCAATGCACAATTTCCAATAAATGAAAAGAATTGAATATGATTGCATTGTATAGAAAATACTGATGCTTTTTCGATTTTTGTAACATATCAACCACTTGTTTATATAACACATGATTTGAAGTCATGTACTGTAGTAATTACTCAGAAATATGTATAAAGTAAGTAGTCTATCCTCTAAAGAACTATCTTGGGTTAGGGGGTTGTATTAAAAACAAAGGTTTATATATATACGAAGACAATGAAATAATCATTGTAATCAATAACTTACAGATATATCAAACAAAACATGAAAGAATATTACATACTTTTATATCTTTACATCTTATCAACTAAACTAAGAAATAATAACCTTGTCTGGCACAAGTGTGCTTAGGTGATTGTTGCAAATTGAAAAGCTTTGCCTCTAGGATCCCGAACTGAAATAGATATGTTTTTTCTCTGTATGACTGGCTGCAACAAAAACTAACTGCTGAGAATAGCACTCCGAATGATATAGAAAGTGATGTTTACAACGCTAACACATACTTCCTGTCAACTCACCATCTAACATTAACCTGATTTTTATGGTGGTATTTCATCAGTAGGATTATGCAACATGCCACGGTGAATATATCTAATATATTCCATTTCCTGTGGTGTCAACCTGATACACGTGTTTGACGTGAACATATAATTTGTGACTCCCTGAACTCCTCATTGACAATGGACCTGATGCACGTCTTTGTTGTGAACATATAATTGGTGACTCCCTGAATTCCTCATTGACAATGGACATGATGCAAGTGTTTGACGTGAGCATATAATTTGTGACTCCCTAAACTCCTCATTGACAATGGACCTGATGCAAGTGTTTTACGTGAACATATAATTGGTGACTCCCTAAACTCCTCACTGACAATGGACGCGATGCAAGTGTTTTACGTGAACATATAATTGGTGACTCCCTATACTCCTCATTGACAATGGACCTGATGCACGTCTTTGTTGTGAACATATAATTGGTGACTCCCTGAATTCCTCATTGACAATGGACATGATGCAAGTGTTTGACGCGAGCATATAATTTGTGACTCCCTAAACTCCTCACTGACAATGGACGTGATG